TCTTAGTTACCAACTAGAGTGCATTTAGAATCATCACGGACACATACCCTGGGTGTATCTAACTGTGAACCTAATAAACCCTTCACCCCTTACGTCCCTTCTCGCCAGGTATTGGTAACAACAAGAAACCGCTTACTACATTACTGGGAGAGCAAATGTAAAAATGAGCAGATCTGTGCATGATTTTGAGTGGGATCACGACACTGTCGTAATTGGTGGGTGAGGAAGAGGGAGAATCGAAGGTGAAGTTTCTTCTACTCTGCCATGGGGAACCAGGTGGATGGTGATGGATGAGAGGGGAAGAGCAGATGGGAGAAGCAGAAGGACCAGACTCCTCATTCGTTTACTTAACCAGACCGCACACGAACTCCACAGGACCAGCATAGACAGTGTTCACCTTCACACGCTTGGTTCTTGTGAGGACAAGACAAAATCAGAAGCCATGATGATAGACTACAGTGGAGAGGACCCGTATGGTGTGGGAGCATATGTGAGGGACAGGGCTTCAGGGTAAGGCTGGTTCAGTCTTCTGGAGGGAGTATCTTTATTATCCTTCAAGTGTAAGATAATTGAAATCCCCTCTGGCTGAGGGGACATGGGGATGTAGGGCATGAGGCTGGGAAGTGTGTAGAGACTAGGTTGAGGAGGGGTTCATGGATGCAGAAAATGACCTCACCTTTCACTGGGAAGCAAATCAAAGTCTGTGGGAAGAGGCACAGTTCAATCTGTCCTGATCACTGTGGCTCACGTACAGAGAATGGATTGGGACAAGCGTGGAGACATCAGGACAATGAGGGGCTACTGAACTAAAAAGGCAAGAGCTGATGGATACTGTAACCAGGGTAATGGCAGGTAGATGTAGAGACAAGGATGGATTTGAGAGAGGATCCTGAGTTTGAGTCAGTAGGGTTTGTTGACCAGATAGGAAGGACTGAGATGGAAAATATGAAGTCCGTGTCTAACTCACGGGGTCTGAACTGCCTGTGACCGTATAGGTGGATCTTCTCAGTGATCAAAGTGTTAGAAAAGAATATTCCTGAGCCCTGCCCTGCCTTGTTACATGAGGATTTCTGAATGGCATCTGCAAAGGTGTGGAAAGGAAAGAATAATCGAGGTGGAATTAAGTTGACAGGTCCAGAGATGCCTAGGAGGAGAGCTGTGAGATAAGGTTGGGTGGGTGAGGGCTTGCTTAAGAGGTTCACCAGATAAAAGAAAAGCCCTGGGCTAGTGAGATGTTCAATTGGTAAAGACACTTGTCGCCAAACCTGATGACCCATGTGATCTCCAGGACATACACGATGGAAAGAGAACCAACTCCTGCAAATTGTCCTTCGACCCCCAAATGCACCTGTGTACATGTGCCTGAACACACACCACATAAGCAATTAAGTAAATGTAATAACAAAAACTTTTTCAAAGAGAAAAGCCTTGTGTCTTGTTAAGATTTTTTTGTGTGTGTGTGGTTTTTCGAGACAGGGTTTCTCTGTAGCTTTGGAGTCTGTCCTGGACTAACTCTGTAGACCAGGCTGGCCTCAAACTCACAGAGATCCACCTGCCTCTGCCTCCTGAGTGCTGGGATTAAAGGCATGCGCCACCACCGCCCGGCCATCTTGTTAAGATTTTAAACAACTCCCTTCAGGATTCTTAGGCAGGGATTGAAAAGATAGAGTTTGAATTTACAAAGATCTCCCTGTTGTTGGCATGAAGGAGGGAAGGGATTCCACAGGAGAGGCAAGGTTAATATCAGGCAGGATGGTTGGAATGGAAGGAGAGAGGGCGTTTGTGAGAGATTTCTGAGATGTGACATCATTAGGGCCTTGAGATAAATGCAGAAGGTGAGCTATTTTTGCCGAGTCCAGAGGGCTTTTTCCAACATATCCTTCACGACATCAGAGATGCTTGTGGGAGGCCTGAGGGGCCCTGCAGTAGATGCAGAGCTGTGGGCCTCGCAGACAGCTGGAAGTTCCCTCTTACAACGTGAATGGTAGCACACACAGCAAGGCACACCTGAGGAGAAAGCACATCCTTCTACCCCTTGCACCTGCACTTGATGGCACCCAGTCCTGTCTGCGGCACAGACATCCCCGGCCCTTCAGCCCCACTTCCCACCCACTTGCTGTCCTCAGCATCCTGCCCCTGTTGCAGGGACTCCAAATCAGATAGGGGACCTAGAGAGATAGTGAGAGGCTGGCTGTGGGGATGCAGTAAGGGCTACAGCCACTGGGGTTATAAAAAGAACTGGCACAGTCTGGGTTGTACTCTTGGCTCGAGGCTAACTGAATTGCTTGCCAGTTCCCACCCAAACTGGTAATATTCCTATCTCCAAGCCTTTTGTTTTGGGGTGAGGTATTTATCTATTTATTTTAGTTTAATTTATTTATTTTTCAATTTTATTTATTTATTTATTTTTTACGTGTATCTGTCTGCATTTATGTCTATGTACCAGGTGCATGCCTGGTGCCTGTGGAGGCCAGAAGAGGGCGTCAGATCCCCTGACAGATGGTTGTCAACCACCAAATCAGTGCTGAGGATCAAATCTGGGTGGTCCCAATCCAGAGCACCAGTGCTGTTAACTGCTGAGCCAGCTCTCCGGCCCTTTATTTCTTGCTTACATGCTTGCTTGCTTGGGAGACCAGATCTCATTATTTTGGTCTGGCTGGCTTGGAAGTTGCTGTGTAGATCAGGCTGGCCTCAAGTGTACATGAGCTTCCTCTGCCTCCTGAGTGCTGGGAGTGCAGGCGTGCACCACCACACCAGGCTCCCAGCTTTTGCCCATCCTGACCTTTGACCTCTGTGGCAGTTCCCCATCACCTCCTCCCACTGCCTCCCCTGTGCATCCACTGGAAGTCAGTGTTTCGACTCCACGCTGTCCAAGCATTTACTCACCAAGGTTAAAATGGTATTACAGCTCTTTATGTTTCCTTTGGTTAAAAGCATCCTGAAAACACAGGGTTTCTGTTTCAGCCATATTTGTTTCCTTCAAAGATTTCAGAGCAATACTGGTTTGCGTGCATAGCTTGTAGGAGGAATGTAGCTTCAACAGGTGTAGACAGGGGAAGAATAAAAGCAGAGGAGGCAACACACTCCTGTAATCTCAGGAGGCAGATGCAGGATTGTGGAAGGTTCAAGACCTGCCTGATTTACATAGTAAGTTCAGGCCAGCAGGAGAAGCATAGCAAAACTTTGACTCACAAGGCAAGTGAATAAATACAATGCATCCACCCCAATCCAGAAACCTCAAATTTGAAGTTTTAAATGTTGTTTATATTTATTTATTTATTTATTTGTTATTTATTGAGTGGGGGGGAGTAAACGGAGCTGGGCTTGGTGGCACAGGCAGGAATGTAATTCTAGATACTTAAAAATCTGAGTCAGATAGAGTCCAGGCAACTGAGGAAACTTTGTTTTAAAAACAAAACAAAGAGACAGGAAGGAAGGAATAGAGGGAGAGAAAAAGGAAGGAGAGGAGGGAGGGAGGGAGGGAGGGAGGGAGGGAGGTAGAGCTCTGTGATCAAGCACTAGTCCAACATGTGTGAGACCCTACAGTGGATCCCAGTACTTAAAAAATAATGAAAGAAAGAAAAGAAGGAAGGAAGAGAAAGATGGAGGGGGAGGGAAGGAATGAAAAATTGAAACACTTCCGGTCTCGAGCACACTGGGTAAAGAATCCTGACCTATGTTTAACATGCAGATACCATTAGTAGAACTAATATTTCAGGATAGCATGAAAAAAATCCACAACATGAGTTCAATTTCTATTCAAAGTCTGAGATCAACTATAAAGCAGCTATGGATATCTTTAAAATAGGAAACCGTTGGTCTCCCAGCTTTTATGGTCGACTTTCACTAACCATGAAGTGGGAAGGAGATGGCGGACAGTTGTTGCTCAGCCGCTTTTGACCGTTCAAATCCACAGTCCCAACTTGTGTAACTCTTGAGTCCCTTGCTGCTGCCTTGGAGGAGGAGGTGGCCTACTTTCACAGAGAGCTGTGAGTCATGACAGTCTACTAACCCTGAGTCAGGATCGGGAAGAACACGCCTAGGCACAGGACTACAGATCGCTAAGCTCAACGTCTATCTCTTTTCATTTTTATATTTCTTTATTTTGTGTATGTGTGGGGGCATGTGCATACTACAACAGTTTGTGGGAGCTGGTTCTTTCTTTTCACCATGTGGGTCCTAGGGATCCGACTCTGGTTGGCAGGGTTGGTGGCAGGTGCCTTTGCCTGCTGAGCCATGGTGCCAGCCCATACCTCAGTTTTGGACTTAGGAATTGTAACATTTTCCTCTTTATTGTTGAATTGAGAGGAGCATTGAAAACATACTTGCTTATCTCCAAAATAATGTCATGTTAAGATGGGCGTCTTTATGAACAAAATCACCCGGGAGCAATTTTTGTAAGGTTTATTTTTTAAATGGTTCTTATGAATTAATTCTGGCCCTGTGTCTCCCAGCTTCCCTGCATTTTATTTTATAACAAATGGGAACAGCCATGATCACACACCATGGGGTGTCTGAGTAAAATCAGTGTCAGACATGTAATAAACACTGAGCAGCTGTAAACAGTTTGTTACATGCTTTTTTTTTTTTTTTTTTTGTGAGACAGGGTTTCTCTGTGTAGCTTTGTGCCTTTCCTGGATCTCGCTCTCTAGACCAAGCTGGCCTCAAACTCACAAAGATCCGCCTACCTCTGCCTCCCGAGTGCTGGAATTAAAGGCGTGCGCCACCACCGCCTGGCATTTGTTACATGCTTTTATGCTGTGCTCACATGCAAGTCTACTTGGGTGGCAAAGGCAGGAACATCAATTCTAAACAACCACAGGAAAGGTTTTCTGAAATTTTGCTCAATGATGCACTAAGGACACTAAGAGGTGTCCTCCTATAGCTTGTTAGAAATACATCATATCCTCTCTTGATATTGGCTTGTAACGGTGCTACTTGTTTTTCCTCCTGGTGAAAGTCAACCTCTTCAAAGAAATGATTTCAAATTCTTTCCACAGGTGTGATGACCGTGTAGGACCTTCTGTGTCTGTGAGGTATACCACTGCGGTGAGTATCCATCCGGGGAACCAAAGGCAAATCCTAGAGTCAAGTTAGAAAAGCTGTGTCAGAAACTTCACAGCTCGAAGTCAGTTGTGCCTCTAGCTGGCCCACCCTGATGCTCTCTCTTTGTGGATAGACCCCAGTGAACTGCTACCTGCAGAGACTTCACCCTAACTCAGCCGTGGACTGGGGTGGCATGTGCTCTACCTCTTCTGTTTTCTAAGAAGACAAGACCATGGTCCTAGATGCTTCTGTGCGCTCGGTTTTCCTGGAGGAATGTTTGAGCATCCTCTGATGTTTATGAGTCTAGGGATGTGAAGGAGATGCAGAGTTTCTAGAAAAAGCAATGTGGGTGCCTGTATTTTATAAAGTGGTGGAGTTAATATGGCATTCTTAGGATTTGAAACTCGAATCTGAGGATCAGCAGGTATTTTCCTTTGAGACCCCTGGTTGCCACTTTCAATGAACTGTTTCAATGAGCTGTTAGCATGGAAGGGACCTGCCAGAGAGCAAGTGAGAGTGAAGCTCCCACTGGTGACAAAAGGGAACGAGTGGGAGTTCTGCCTAAAGCCAGAATTGTGTGTGGCGTCCTGGAAGCTGACTGTTGATGCCACAGGAATTCTTGCCAAGATCTGAGGCGATGAATTTCCCACCACTTGATAGGCAGCCGGGCAGGAATGGTCCAGGGGATGTTGGTGTTTTATGTGAGGTTTGCTATGTGATTGAATGACCCTCCTCTCACAAGAGAGGGCAATTGCTAATTAAACATTTGCACAGCTTAAAAGAGACAAAGCATTTCAGAAACACTGGATGCTTGGTGCTAGATGGAAACTTAGAGATCGCCTAGCTAGCCCAAGATTCCTCTCAGACTCGGTACCATGGACATTTTCAGCTGAACCTTGCTCTGTGAGGGTGCTGTCTGGTATACTGCGGGATGTGTAACAGTGCCTCCCCACTCGTATACATAGCAAGTTCAAGACTAGCCTGAGCCTGGGCTATATGAGACTGTATCTCAAAACGCACACACACACACACACACACACACACACACACACACACACACACACACACACACACATACACACACACACACACACACACACATACACACACACACACTTGCATGTGCATGCATCCGACAAACCCACTATGTGGTGATGCATGTCTGTAATTCCAACACTTGGGAGGTGGAGGCAGGAGGATCTGAAGTTCACAGCAGCCTTTGCTACATAACAAGTTGAAGGCTAGCTCAAGCTATTAAAAAAAATGTGACCTGGGCCAGCTAATTGTTCTTCGTTTTTCTGAACACATTCTAGCTTAGCTTACTACCACCACTGTCTCTGGAGGGACACATCTCCAGTGTGGCGTTTACCAAGTAGATAGCATCTCAGTTTTCTGTATGTTATAATGTACCCCTATCTGGGATAGCATATGTGTCCAGGACCTGAAAGCCGAAATGAACACATGATTTTTAAGCCACAGGGCCTAGAACATGTTGCTAAATGTAATCCCTGCTGGAAAGGAGACACAGAACAAATCCAGGAGCACCTTGAAATTTTAATTTGTTGACTTTACCAAGGCATTTGATAATATCAGGCGGCGTGGGTTCCAGCTCCCACAGCCGCTCTGCAGGTTTGGCCACCCTAGGAAGCTCTCAAATGTTTGAAGGTTACCCTCTGACAGGAGCTTTGTTTGTCTAGTTATGTCAGCATTACAGACAGCATCAGCAGAGGGCATTGAAGTTGTGTAAAAGGGCTTGTTTCTCTCAGCGGCTTTTATGTTCCCTGTTTCCTGAAAGACAGCATCGTACAACGTCCTCTGGGGAACCTGCCTGGCTCACGAGTTCAACACGCTCTCAGGAGTTTTCCGGAAAATTCTTTATAACCCAAGAATGGTGACAGTCGGTATGGAGGCCTCGCCTAAGACCTGGCCCCCCATTCTCAGTGGTTTCCAGCTGTTCAATCAGCCAATGCTCTCAGCAGAGAAAGTATTGCTTTGTTACTGCTCTAAGCTTCATTTTACCAACAAAGTCACTAAGGCACAAGAAGGTGAAGTCATTTGCCCAGAGCAAATGTACACCAGTGGTTCTGAACCTTCCTGATGCTGCGACCCTCTAATACAGTTCCTCATGTGACCTGCCCCAAACATTTTTGTTGCTACTTTACAACTGTAGCTTTGCTACTGTTATGAATTGTAATGTAAACATCTGATATGCAGGATATCTGATATGCAACCCCTGTGAAAGGGTCATTTGACTCCCAAAGGGGTTGAGACCCACAGGTTGAGAACCACTGATGTATGTAGACATTCCTGGGCAAAGCCAGGGAACAATTGTGAATTGTGTGGCACTTATGTGTAACCACTATGCTGTCCTCTCTTCAACATGCTTTTCTGGGTCCTAGTAGAGAAAATGTTTCCTCCTCCCCCACCCCCCAAGACAGGGTTTCTCTGTGTCGCTCAGGCTGTCCTGGAACTCACTCTGTAGACCAGCCTGCCTCTGCCTCCTGGATGGGAAATGTTTTCAATAGCTCAATCCTGTTGCAGTTTTTACTAGTAACCTCCCCTGTGTGGTTTTCTATCTGGGCATGTCAGAAGTCCGTTCATAACTACGTGCAAAGTGTCACTCCCCACGGGAGGGGAGGGTGTGTTTCAGGCGAGGTTCCTCCTTTCAGTTGGATTGACATGTAGATATGTGCATTAGCAAGGGTTACAGATCAGGGTTTGGGCTCAGGTTAGATGAGGGTGAAGAGCCACCACTACCATAAGTCATTCGTGTGACATCAGTAAGACACTTAGCTGAAATTTGGTTGCTTTATCCCCCAAATGGGGGTGATCCTTAACTAGATCGCATAGTTGTTAGAAGGATCCAAAAAGAAAAGATACAAGAAGTACAGTATTAAAAAGTAACTGAGGGCTGGCCAGATGGCTCAGGGGACCCCACATGGTGGAATGAGAGACCTGATTCCTACAAGTCATCCTCTGACCTCCACGTACATGCCATGGTACACACACCCTCAAATAAATAAACAGTTTTAAAGATTTATTTATTTTTATTTTATGTATGAGTGTTTTCCCTGAATGTGTGTCTGGACCCCACACACATGCAGTGCCTACAGAGGTCAGAAGAAGACATTGGAGCCCTGGAACTGGAGTTCCAGATGGTTTTTAGCAACCATATGGGTGCTGGAAATTGAACCCAGGTCCTCTGGAAGAATAGCCAGTGCTCTTAACTGCTGAGTCATCTCTCCAGCCATGTAATTATTATTATTTTTTTAATGAGCGAGTAATTGTGTTAAAAAATAAGAATGTTGGTAGCAGATGAGTAGAAAAAAAAAAAGGTGTATTAGAGGGGCTAGAGAGGTGGCTCCGTGGGGAAGAACACTTGTGTAAGCATAGGACCCGAGTTCAAATCCTCAGCTCCTACGTAAGAGCCAGGTTACATGCCTGTGACCCCAGCATTGGGAGGTGGAAACAAGTGGATCATAGAGCTCACTAGGCAGCCAGTCCAGCCAAAATGGTGAGCTTCAGACTCAGTGAGAGACGGGAGAACAATGTGGGATTTGATAGAGGAAGACACCACATCCTCCTGACTTTGGTAGGTGCACACATGGGTGCATGCACCTGCACACACACACATGCACATACATGCACACACCACACTACCACACACAAATTTTTGAAAAATATTTTAGAGAAGTCCAGAAGGAGAAATTATTACTGGGGTTGTAGAGGGGAGCATCTTGAAATTGGCAGTAATCACCCCTTGCCAACTACGTGTTTCGCTGGTGTTCATGATACAAATGAGGATGCACTGCATTCTTGCTACCTTTGGAGGTTGGCCACCTCCAGAACCTGACTGACTCATCTGTCTTTGAATCCTTGCTTAGGAGAGTGGAATTTTGGTCGGGAGGAAAGAAAGAAAGCTAGTGTCAGAGTGAGAAATGAAAAGAAAGCAAACTCTGAACATGATGCTGTAATGTGAAATTCCAGAAGGGTGTAAAAATTCTGGTGGGAATGAATTCTGCTTGGGAGAGTTAAAAACAGGCTCCGTGGAGAAAGTAATACCTGGACTTTAGAGGATGAGCAGCCATTTCTAAGAGAAAAGGCTGAGAAGGAGCAAAAATCAAGGATACAAGGACAAAGGTCTAGAAGTCTGTGATATTTGGGACACTGTGTGTGTCAGAGTTCGGAGCCCAGGAAATCTGGGCAGAGGGAAAGAAAGGCTGACATCAAAAGTTGGGAACCTGCCTTGCCATGATTTTGCTGTAAAGAGGTGTTCAAACTCCATCCTCTTAGCCAAGAAGGGGAAATAAACTTCTCATTCTGTGGTGACTCTGCATCGAAGAAGGCAAGACTGAGCCCCAACTGAGGATCAATGTCTGATCCGGGTCACAAGGGACTGTGGCTGCTCCCAAGGTACTGTGGGGCCTGTGTTTAGCTGAAGAAAATCCCTATTACCTGGATAGAGTATACCGATAGAACAAAACTGTGGGAGTCTACCAGGAGCAATGAGATTCGGTAGAATTCTAAAATCCAACAGCCTGGGAGTGAATCCTCTCCCTGCTCCAGTGGGACCTAAGCAAATGGCACGGCCTCTTGAAACTTCAGTTTCCTGAAGGCGGAGGCAATATTTGTACCGACTTCATGGGATTATTAAAATACTGAGTAATATCCCTCTCGAGGTCTTTAAAGTAATGCCTTTGGTAATCAGCATCCACTTGTTTCTGGTAAGAAAGCAACTACAGATAATCTCTCCCGTATCGCTTAAATAAAAAGGGTCTGTAGAGCAAAGGTGACATTTGGTCCTCTTTGTGCCTGGTACCAACCATCGATCAGCTTCAGAGTTAAAGCTGCACATTAGTGAAATCTTGGTATTTTTCTCAGTCATTCAATTCACATCTCTCTACCAGAAGTAGCGTGGATATGTTGAGTGTGTAGGGTTGGTCTTAATGAAAAGAACCTGGTGCCTAGATAGAGGGACCTTCCACCCTACAGAGGCTCATCTCTCACTTGAGGCCCCAGTACACATATTTCCATTTCACTGTAAATATTTGCTATGCAAAATCATGACCCAGGAGACCACAGGCATGTACTCTGGTCTGCATAGAGGAAAGCCAAAATTTGTTTGGGTGTTTGATGGTTAAGAGAAAATGATGCTTGGTGACTTTTTTTTTATTTTTTTTTATATTTTTTTGGTTTTTTGAGACAGGGTTTCTCTGTGTAGCTTTGCACCTTTCCTGGAACTCGCTTTGGAAACCAGGCTGGCCTCGAACTCACAGAGATCCGCCTGCCTCTGCCTCCCAAATGCTGGGATTAAAGGCGTGTGCCACCACTGCCCAGCGCTTGGTGACTTTTATCCAGTAAGCCCATTCTATACCTGATGGTTATGATAAACGGCACTGGTGGCAGAAAAGTCACGGGCCATGGCCACGACTACCAGAGTTACAAAGAGCTTTATTAGAAAGAAGTAGGGGGTAGGAGCTAGGAGAGAGCAGAGAGAGAGGGCGGGGGTCCGCATCCAGCTTTTTAGGGTGGGTACTTAGTTGCTAGCACCCGCTGATGATGTAAGATGCAGGACCCCAAGCTGCACACGTGCAGGAGTGAGGGCAGGATCCTAACAATACCAAGTATCAAAACTATGGATTTGGGCATCATGGACTTACCGCATCTATAACAAGTTGTTATTAAAAATGGAGAACTAGCCGGGCGGTGGTGGCGCACGCCTTTAATCCCAGCACTCGGGAGGCAGAGCCAGGCGGATCTCTGTGAGTTCGAGGCCAGCCTGGGCTACCAAGTGAGTTCCAGGAAAAGGCGCAAAGCTACACAGAGAAACCCTGTCTCGAAAAAACCAAAAAAAAAAAAAAAAAAAAAAAGGAGAACTGAGCCAGTGTTGTGGTGCACACCTCTAATCACTTGAGAGACTGAGGCAGGAAAATTGCTGTGAAGTTGAGGCCAGCCTGGTGGGCCACCTAGTGAGGTCCAAGTCAGCCTGGGCTACAAAGTGAGCCCTGTCTCAAAACAACAAAACAAAACTAGAAAATTGAAGAGCCATGGAAGAGTACAAAAGAGAAGCCTCTTCATACTCTAGGGACAAAAGAATGAACTTTAACCAGTTTTTCAAGGGATTAACTTTCAGCTCTCTTATCTCTAATGCATATCTATAGTCAAAGTTTTATTGTTTTTGTTTACTTTAGATTTTTATATTTGTGTGATAGGTTATATCCAATAAGGAATAGATTATCATGGGAGTATTGTTTCTTTGTTAATAAGCCCCCTCTGTGAGTATTCCTTATGCCCATAGAGCTACAAACACAAGTCAGTGAGATCTGGGCAGACTTCTGGGGGAAACAAGGGGGTGTGAGCACACAAGAGGACCTGGATCTACAGCCTGTGGTGAAGGAGTTTAAAAATCAGGGCCTCAGCAGGGTTAGGCCTTTGGGCTTCAGCTTTATAGACAAGAGGAGATGTTAGGTGAAGTGAAGCGGACACTAGGGAGCAGAGTGACTCAAAAGGCAAGGACTGGGTAGCAGAGTGAGCTGGAAATAAAGAGACAGGAAAGGACCACAACTGCCAGTCCTCTCAGGGATCCCACCAGGCAGGATGACTGAGGCAGGGGACTGGCCTGACAGAGCCAGTTGGATGAAGGAACTGCAGGTGGGGTTCTCCCATAGGACAGTGAAGGTGTGGCGTGGATAACTGTCCCAATGTCGTAAGGACAAACCGAGCTTGTAAGTAGGACAGTAATTGAATTTGATGTCAATATGAACACTTGCTAGTTGTTTGTTTGTTTTAAGGAATACAACTTTAGCTTTGTATCTGTCCCCTAAATCCTTTAAAAGTAGCAGTAGTTTAAAAAGATATGCAAGATCTTACCTTTCAACCCCTTTGTTTCAGAACTACTAAATCTGCTCAGGGCTGGGGCGGGGGCAGGGGGTTCCCCATTCTTCTTTTCTTCCTCTTAAAATATCATTTGATTCTTTTTAAAAATTATCATGAATGTGATGAGTTCTGTTCTGACATTTTCACGCTTTATCTGTCTTGCCCCTTGTCCCCTGCTCACTCACTTCCCCCTTCCCCTTCCGCTGTCCTCTTCCCTCCTGTCCCTTCCCTCCCTTCTGTTTTCATGTCACCTGTATTCAGTCACTCTCTCTGTCTCCTCTCTGTTCCGTCATTCGGAATTTTAACCTCTGGATAGAAACACTGTCTTTTCCGAAGCCCTTTGAGTTCACAAAACTCAAGGTCCTCCTAGATAGCGTCTAAGATGCTTGTTATAGAAAACGCAGTTAGGAAATCCAAAGTCTCAGCCATTAGCACCATGGAGATAATACTCCCAACTTGAGAAAGGTTAATTTCCTGATTGCCAGGAATCACCCTCCTCCCATAAGGCCTGCTTAATGCTATAAGAGTCTGCCTTAACATTGTTACTAAAAGAATCAACATACATTGAATTATGTATAGGAAATTGCACATATGAATGTATGGGCGGGAGTGTACATATGAATGTGTCTAGGGAATATGCATATAAGGGTATGTGTAGGGGATCATGCATATGAGGATATGTGTAGGAGACCTGTGGGAGTCTGTGGGAGACCAGCTCCAACCTGCTCCCACCTTATGAAGGGTTTTTGGGTGGAGGAGAGAAGAATGAGGAAATAGTAGGTAGAAAGAAAAAGACTATAAGAAAAACAGAGACACAGGATAGCTTCAGGAGGACCCTGAGTCAACACCAAGTCACGCCTAGGTTTATTCAAAAGGGCTTTTTATAATATGCCAAGGAGAGAGGCAAAAAACCTCCTCCTTGCAAGATCAAAGCACACCATACAGCCCAGTGTAGACCCTTCCAAACACCTGGTAAACACACCTCTGGCCAAATCATCTCATTATGCATCCCTGACAGGTAAAGCAAGCTTAGATTCTCTGACCCTGAGTAAGGTCTCACTAGATAGCCTCTGTGGGTTTCCACAGGGACCATACCTAGGAGGGTATGTATAGAGGAGTGTGCATAGGAGGATATACATAAGGGAACATGTATATGAGTGTGTGTGTAGGTGAGTGTACATATGAGTGCATGTGTAGGATAATGTATGTGTGAATATATATCTAGGAAAGCATGAAGACAAGGGTATGTGTAGGGGAGTTCCTGATCCATTATAAATGGCAAAAACAAGAAAACTCTAAATTGAGACATAAATGTTCAGAAAATTGATCAGTAGCTCTTAAACTAGAGCATGGACATTTTTAGGGGAACATACAAGTGTTTTAGCTAGAGAAGATGTGAAATCTTATCTTTTCTCCTTTAAAACTGACAGGCAAAAATATACAATTCACCGGTTGGGAATCAGCCCGTCGCCAGTGCGTTTGTCCCTAAGCCAGCCATCATGAGGGAGGAGAGTGGCGTGCCTCCGCCCTGGGATTCTTCCCCGCTGGAAAGTGAGTTCTTCCAAGGTAAGTTCATGCATCAGATCTCCCTGGGAATCGCAGGAACCACAGAGGCCAATACTCACAGTTTGTACTGAAATGCTCTAAACAAATCAAGGCCTGGACTTGCTTTCTGAAGAGGATTCCATTCTAGCCTGTGAACCCGAATCTTGAAGAACCTTGTGGTTAAATATAATCTAAGCAAATATTCTGAGATCAAAGACTGACAGACATACAGGCTGATAATAATGTTTAATGTTTTACCTCAGGTCAAAGAGAAATACATCTATAAAGCTTGCTCTTAAGAGTCTTTTATTGTTCCTGATTAGGGCATAGACCACTGTGATGAAATCCAGTAATCGTTAAACAATTCACCCGCGCTGACCTGGATTCCAGGAGTACACAATGCACATGAATCTTACTATTGATACCATAGTCCACCTTACCCGGGTTATTCTGTATCACAATAAGACTGGCCATTAGAAAAGTTTAGTCCACGGTCATTCAGCAGCTTTGCAGTGAGGAAGCATATTCCGTTCGTAGCTAGAACGCCCCCTCCCTGCCATGGCAATCCTGAAAGCCTTAGGCTAGGCTCTCTGTCTAGGGACACCCTGGGGCAAGATGGGCAGGGACCAGGGGAAAAATCTGTTCCAAATGAAGCTTTTGTTTGAAGAGAATTGCTCCTAGCGTGGGTCTCTGGATAATGGTGGGAGGCAGGGCACTAACTTTCCAGCCTCTGGAGTAGTGAGAAAAACAGTTAATGGGAAATTCTGAACAACTTTGAATGGGTAGATTTTGTTATGGGACACAAAGAGTAATGACTATTCCCAGTAGGAGCCCAGGTACAGTAATCTCTTGTGCTTTCTATTCTAAATGTCTTTTGTTTTGTGGTCAACATAAGGCTTTAGTGTGGGGGGAGGGTATAAACATCTCAAAGGAAAAAATTTTTATCACTTGTTTTAGACAGATTTTATTAACTCTGTAGAGTTTTGTTTTTTTTTTTCCTACCATATAATTTGGCATAGTGATAATGATAATTTAATGAATAAATGATACTTTTATTGTGGATTATTTCAGTGATAGGAATCCAATGATTTTTCATCAAGAGTCCCTTCCTCATAAGATCTTAGTGATCACGATGAATCCTGTCATCTGTCAACTCAAGAGCACTTACAGAGCAGTGCAGAAGACAAGGGAAAAGATCCCTCTGGTGCCAGCCCAGATGTGATTGGCACATTACTTATCCATACATTGCTGCTGTGCACACTCAGATGCTGACATGTCTCACTCTCCATGATTCTTTAGTTAAAAAACCAAAACACAAAAGACTTTAAATAGCAAATAAGATAACTAAAGAAAGTCATTTACATCATTTCAGAGGAAAGATTTATGTAGACATGGAACCACAGCACTTTGGAAAAATACTTATTTCTGTGTCAGATATGATTTTTATTAATATTTCATCAATAAGTGCATAATTGATTTGTAGTCATCATAAAATATATATGATAATAATGTCTATTATAAGGCAAGTCTTAGAAAAAATCTAAAAACCTTAAGGAGAGTGCAGTTATATTAAAATTCTAACAATTTAGTGGAGGAAAATGTTTACTGTGATTAAATACAATGCCAAGCGATGCCAGCAGTAACTTGGATGATGCATGGGGGCTTGTCTAAAGTTGCAGACTAAAGCACTTCAGGAATGGGCACTGGGTCTGGGCTCGGCCTCTGTCCTTCACATTACAAGGAGGTTGCTGGGCCCTGGCTTGGACACCACCCTCTCGAGGACCTTGTCCTAAGATAAAAGTCAGCATTGTTTGATTGACAACAGCAGCCCCGCCTCCTTACAAAGTGTGGCTCAAGCCTTTGTGTATGAAGACTCAGGAGACAGAGTCTGGGTCCAAATCGCTGCACTGAGTGACCTGAGCCTTTACTTGATTTCCTTCTGCCTCAGCATCCTCATTTATAAAACAAGAAGAGTAAAAATGCCATCCCTGAAAGGTTCTATGAGTATTTATTAATTAGTGTTGTGGGCCTCACACAGGAAGTGCTGTCTTACAGTAGTTTCTGGGAAAAGCAATCGACAATTGACATATCATCTAATGATATTGTGTAGAACTTTAAATTCCACACGTTGTCCACATTCATCCAACTTAGTATTTGTACATTAGGTGGTAATGAACCTTTGCCTGTAATGCCGTTTTCTTAACAGGACAGCCGAGAAATCACATCCTGTTTATAGGCTTATTTTTATTACAGTCTCATGATATGACTAAAGATTAAACTATTACAGCAACCTAGTGATATAAAAGAAAGAGAGAAACATGACTGATAATCCCCAGCTTGCCTAGTAATTCAACAGCAAGCCCATATTGCAATTTACATTATTCTCTTCTGTTACTAAACCATGATGCACAAAGAGTAAACACACCAGGTACACAGAGAGACACTGCTTAAAATTCGTTAGGACAGATACAGCTTTGTGTGTGTGCGCACATGTGTATGAAGGTTTGTGTGTATGCAGGTGTACGTGTGTATGTGTGTGTGTGCATGTTCATTTGCATGTGGAGGCCAGAGGTCAACTTTGTGTGTGGTTCCTCAGGAGCTATCCACCTCGTTTTGTGTGTATGTGTTCACGTGTGTGCGGGTGGACATTAGGTGTGTGGTAGCCAGAGATCAACACTGTCTTCCTAAGTGGCTTTCTACCTTTTTTTTTCACGTATGAATGTATGAGTGGTGTGTGTGCATATTTGCATGTGTGTGAGTGCACATGAGTTTGCACATGTGTGCACATATATGGAGAAGCCCAAATTGGCATTGGATATCTTCCTTGTTCCGTCTCCACGTTATTTATTAAGGTAGTATATTTCACTGAATCTGGAACTCTCTGATTCCAGCTGGTCTAGCCAACCAGGTCAGCCCTGTCTCTGCCTCCCAAGTGATAGATTGCAGGCGAGCTGTGCCAGGCTTTTAACATGCCATCGAGGGATACAGGTCTGCATGCATACTGGGTAAGCACTTTACCCACAAGCTACCTGTCCAGCTCTCTACCTTCTAGACAATTACTTTATGTATGCAGTGTGCATATGTGTGCATGAGTACAGAAGCGAGTGTGCCGTTGTGCGCATCAAGAGGTCAAAAGGCAACTCTCGGGAGCAGGTTCTCCCCATCCACCTTTTTAAAGCAGGGTCTCTCTTGCTGTTTCTGTCATTGCAGAGCATATTCCACGGTGGCCAGTCCACAAGAGTTTTGGCCTATTCTCATCCTCCCATCTTGCTGTAGGAGCGCTGGCCACTGCTATGGATGGTGCCACCTCACCCAGCTTCTCGATCCAGGTTCTGGGGACTGAGGTCATTAGGTTTATGTGACTGCTGAGCCATCTCCCCAGCTCCCACCTTATTTTTTTTTTTTTTTGACAGGGTCTCTCACTGAACCTGGAGCTCAACTATTTGGCTAGACTGGTTATCTAGTGAGTTCCAGGAACCCCCTATCTCTGCCTCCTAGCGATGGGGTGCAGGTCCCCACGCCTGGCCTTTTACGTGGCACTCAGGATCTAAACTCACATCTCCACGTTTGTGTGGCAACCACTCTACTGACAGAACCAGTGCTCCACTCCCGTCTTGTTTGAGATGAGGTCTTCCGGGGACCTGGAGTTTGCCAATTAGGCTAGGCTGGCTGGTCAGTGAGCCTCAGGGACCCCCTGTCTCTGCCCCCACCCCAACACTACTGGGATTACAAGTCCATGCCACTATGCTGGCTTCTTTATGTGAGTTCTGGGGATTGAATCCAGGTCTCAGGGTATACAGCAAGCATTTTACTGACTGAGTTAGCTCCTCGGCCCCAAAATAGAATTTTATATCCTTAAAGCTATATGAAAAGAAAAAGAAAGAGAATTGCATTACACTCTTATAAAAATCAGATTATCATTAAAACATAATCAAGATTAATGTTATATTAGCTAGGTGGAGGTGGGAGTACACACCTTTAATCCCAGCGCTCAAGAGGCAGAGGCAGATGGATCTGAGTTCAAGGCCAGTCTGATCTGTGCAGTGAGTTCCAGGACATTCAGGGCTATACTGAGAAACCCTGTCACAAAAAACCAAAAAGGAAAAACAAAAAACAAAAACAGATTAATGTTGTATTTATAATAACAAAATATGATTCTCAGAAGGGATGCTTCAATGACTCTAATTGTTATAAAACTACAAAAGCATATACAAAAATTAATTCACTTTTCCTTTAGTTTTAGATGATTTGGACAGCAAGCTGGCTCAGGAACAATCTGCAGGGTCGGTAAACACCAGAGTGCCATTCAACTATGGATCAAGAACACCGTTCCAACATTCTCACTCGAGTAGGAACGGGCATGGCCATACCACAGGAAGGCACCAAAACTACCACAGTGAAACTTCCAACATGTCCATCTATGACATCCTGAGACCAGGAACTCCTAGAGAAGGCTTTAAAACCTTTTCTCCCAGGACAAAGACAATTTATGATATGTACAGGACCAGGGAGCCCAGAGTCTTAAAGGAGGACTTCATGCAAAAGAATACGTTTGGCAGTACATCCTTGTGCTTCGATGGCCGGCAGCGATCAGCCTCACCAGCCACAGGGCGTTTTACTGCAAGGAGTTTACACTTTCCGGCCGCTACTCAAAACAAGAATAGTTTTACACCAGTAAGGCACCAGCAAAGCCCCAAAAGAACTCCTTTATCATCCATCATGTGGAATAGATCAGATTCTTCTAGACATAGGCAGAATCGGGAAGAATCACTGGGGGCACCATCACCGATGGACATTGACCCTGCTGATCAGTATGTGGCTCCTAAGTGTTTTCAGGAGAGTAGGAGGTATGAGTTGTACCATTCACAGAATGCTTACCAAAGCATCCCTTTAAATGCCCCCATGGACAATGTGATGAGTCCTGACACATTGGAGAACTCAGAGAATATGCCATTCTACCATCAAAATAACCCATTTGCAAGGTCTTTCTTTAGCAGTACCTTCAGACAGAGCAGAGAACAGAGATTTGGACAGAATTCCTTTTGGAGCCAACAGAAAGAACATTCTTTCTGGTCTGACTTACACCAGAGCAGGAAGCCATTGTCTTCTGACAGGGACTTTGAAATGATTTCTGTTGAAGCAAATAGGGCACCATCTGTTTATAACCATGGTGTCCCTTCTCAACACTGGAGGCCACATTCTCCGGGCTGTGGAACATATGTTTTCAGAGGTCAAGAGGATCCACATCACTGGCGATCTGATCTTCAAACATCCCCACTGGAGAGCATGGACACAGCACATGTCAGTGAGAATGAATTTCCATCCCATTTTGTCACTCCAGAGGGTTTTTCCATGACTAGCTCAAGCTGCCACATCCAGTCTTCTGGACTGGACTATCAGCAGGAACACTGTCCTGTAGACACAGCTGTAGATGAGAAGCCTCATTTGTGTGGCAAGTCTCAAACTCTCATATCCTCATTCAGAACCTCCTTCCCCTTGATTCCTGATGACAGAAGAGATTCTCAGAGTCCCAGCTTCCAGAACTCCACAGTTACTTTGGAGAAAATAACCCCTAATAAGCCAGATTCTCTTCCAATAAGAAACCGTAGAGAAGTTACTGTGGCTGGTAGCCATCCCACTGAATCACTGTCTCTTACTGAAACCCAGCCCAACACCCCAGTCACAGAAATGAACAGTGAGAAAGACATGAATGAATCTATTTCAGGAAATGAACAGCTAAACAAGGTGGGCCAGAAAAACAAGGCAAGTGGGTTACCCCAACCTATTTCACAGACAGTGATCGCTATTGATTTACCTGATTTTCAAAAGGCCCACTCCCAACACTCAACCCAAAATGACAGGTTTGGCTTTAATGAATCTGCCACAGTAAGTGCCAGAAGGTCACCCAGGGTCTTTTCCAGGAAAGACACTTCCCAAACACTTACAGCACAAAGAGATAAATCTCATGAACTGAAGGAAGATAAAGGTTTTCCTGGGAGCAGGAAAGTTGACTCCGCAGCCTCCCTGCCTTTCATCCGAGAACCTGGAACGCCGTCTCTTCCCAGCCCACGTCAAGGTTGTCACCAGAAAACAGGAAGTAACGAAGAGGGTGCAGGCATCATTCAAAATAACCGCTGGTGCTTTGAACCCACTGCTGCCCCCAAAGCAGAGTCTCCAGAGGAGGCTGCTATTTTAGACCTCGAGCGACAACAATGTCCTTCCACCCATTCTACCGACGGCAGCAAGCTGGCCGCCAGGCACAGTGTCCCGCAGGACTCTGGAGATGTGCCACCAGGCGTACCCCAAGATTCCTTACCGTTGAGTGATTCTTTCCTTGATGCTCTTTTGATACCTTCTACTACCGTGTTCTCCAGGAGGCTTTCAGACCAAGATCCATCTCAAGAAGAAAGAGAAGAAAAAGACAAGGCTACGAAGAACCAAAATATCCAGCTGGCTGTAAATTCCACAGATAACCAAGAGAGTCGTGACGGTCCTGCACTTCTGCATGATGCTGTGCACTGCCATCCGTACTCTCCCTTCAGAAACGGGAGGGGGAAAGGTAGAGTCAGACGCCGCGTGTCCTGTATTGAAAAGCTAACCAAGGCGGAGAATAGAGCGGCACCCACAAGTGAAGGCAGCAGCCTCCCGGAGGACCAAAGTAGCGCCAAAGCCCCTGAGCTCAGCACAGTCTATTGCACCTTGCCAAGAAAGCCAGCCAGCTTTCTCACACGCAGCAAACAGCAAGAGAATAAGAGAATGGCTGCTTCAGTTAGGAATGGGCCACTTCCTTTCCAAATAAAAAATAAAGTGGATGCTCTGACTGGGAAGAGCACATCTGATAAACCCAGTTCTCCTCAGTCAATGAGCGATGCTTCAGATTCGATCACGGGGATGCCCGAAGCCACCAAGAAGATGACAGATATGAGAGCCATTAGGTCCGCTTCTGTTAGAAAAGGGCCACTCCCTTTCCTCATCAAGAGGGCGATATCCTGTCCTTCGGGGGAGCCATGTACCTTGGCTGGAAGTAGTGAAAGGGAAAAGTCACCAATCCTGGACATGGATGCTTCCGCTGTAATGCCCGGGCCTTGGGGGAGAATCTTCAGTTCTCTGGAAGATAACTCATCATTTGGAGAGAGTACTTTCACCGAAAGACACAACCAAAAGGAACTTGCTCACGAACCCACTGGAAAGCTTGATGAGATGCCTGCCCCCAGAAAGAGCTCGTCCACCCTTTCAAACAAAAGCCCCAAGCCTCTGCGTGCAGACGCATCTGGAAAAGAGAGTGGGAAGGCATTACATAAGTTTAAGACAACTAGCATGTTCTCTGTTTCTGGTGATGAAGAGAATGTGAAATGTCTTGAGGTGGTTTCCATATATTATACTCTACCAAGAAAACCCAGCAAGAAGTTCTGCAGCCTCCTTCAGCAGTATGCACAAGGTACAGATTCACTTCGAGATGCTTTTCATGGAGAGACTAAAGCATTTCCTAATGCTTTCGAAAGTGATGAGTTAGACTGTCCTGCCCAAGTGCAGTCAGGAATACCTCCACCACAAGACCTGAAGATGCAGGTTGACTCTGCTCCATGCTGTCATTCTCACAGCACTGAGAATAAGGTTGTCTCCCAATTACCAAAGGAGGAGGCTTCCGAATCTACCTTGGAGGAAATGGCTTCTGTGGGGCCAGATGTTTCTCTTCAAAAGGGAGACCCTAAGACCAAAGAGATTTCCCCAGGTAGCTTAGCTAAAACAAATGTGGATGATTCGCTAAGGAGAAAAAAGAGAGGGGGGAAATTGCCAAGACAAATTCTACAGAGCCCATTACTGCCTCAGGAAAAAAGCGCTGGAGCAGAAAACACTGAAAACCATCGACAGCCTTCTAAAGGAGGAGATGGTGGGCCCCCTGGACTCCCAGCCCACTCAGAAAGTAATGTGGAAAATTCCCAAACCAGAAGAAATTCTAGAGCATGTGCAGGCGGTACAGCCACTGTATCAACAGGCAGCGGACGGTATCCTTGGAGAGATCACTTGGCTGTAGTTGTAGATGACAGTTCTAATGGGTCACAGCCTAGGGAAGCCAGTGGGACAACTGGATCAGACTGCCCAAACCTGACTGGTAAAACGCTCTCTGACTCAGAACCAGCCTTTGCTGTAACCCCAGCATTGCATAAGCTGCAGCTTGCTGAAGAGACTCAGTCAGGAAGAGCAGATCTGCAGTCGGAACCCAGGCGGGCAGGAAGTCAGGAGACAAATACAGCAGAAATGAGGAAGGTTCAAGACGAAGCACAGAAGTTGGCATGGGATCAAACCCTACTTCCTGGAGGAAATAATGAGAATAAAACCAACATGGGCGACCTAGAAGCAAAAGAAAACAGATACTCGGGTAAACACAGACTGGCAGCCATGTCTAAAGCGAGCAGAAAAATCCCAGCTAAGGATTTAAGTCCCAGGAGACACATAGCCACTCTCTTCTCCCAAAGTGAAAGCAAATCTGGCTTTAGGGGGTTATCTCTTTGCAGGTCAGAGGACAGCCCACTGTCCCCTGAACCTACTGTAAAATCCACGGAGCCCACAGATGACAAATCTGAAACCCCTCTGCAAGCCACAGCAATAGCCAACCCGGAACCTCCTTCTCAGTCCTGCACTCAGAGGTCTGCTAACATTTCACAGCCACATCAGAATGAGTCGAACAGTATCTTAGGAACACCATCAAAGAGTGAGGATTTGGGAGAGTCAGGAGCCCCAGCTCGGCTCACACTTACCAGTCCCATAGAAAAAAGCGCTAACCATCAGCAGAGGTTGAGTCCCCCCTTCTCCCCGGAATCTGTGCAGAAATCTGCAATAAACCTATCCCACTGTCAGCTGCGCCACTGGAGTGCCCCATCTCCAGAGTCAGAACCTGAGCCTCACCTCTACAGGTCAAAGAGTTTAAAAAACTTCAATGTGCATGGTGACCGGCTGTGCACAAGCCATCCTCCCAAAGCCAGGGGGCGCCACTTTTCTGAAAACACTTCCATTGACAGTGCTCTCAGTCAACTGTCGCTTGATGATGACTCTTCCCACAACAGTGCTTACAGTCGAAGATTCAAATCTTTTTCTGAGCTTCCTGCCTCTGATGAAAGTGAAAGTTGGGCTTTGTATAACAATAGAACTAGATTGGGTCCCAAGTCCACCTCATCCATTTCCAGGCCTATTGACTATGGAATTTTTGGGAAAGAGCAGCAGTTGGCTTTCTTGGAGAATGTCAAGCGGTCACTCACACAAGGAAGATTATGGAAGCCAAGTTTCCTCAAGAACCCTGGCTTCCTCAAGGATGATGTCCTTAATGCTTCCAACCCGTCTCAGTCAGAGCTGGTGAATTCTGGTGGTCGGTCGCCAGAAGATGGCTTATTTCCAAGTGAACCCCTTAATATCTACGAGGACGACCCAGTGGACTCAGACCGGGACACAGACACAACCACCGATGATGAGTACTACCTGGATGAAAATGATAAAGAGTCGGAACTATGAGACTGAAAGAAACGGTACAATAGTATACTCTACAATTTGCTTTTTACCAAAACATTGTTGAACTGAGTCTAAATTTATAGGCAGGTAAAAGAAGATCTTGTTTGGGAAGTGTCTGCACCAAAACAGCCCATTCTTTTCCGTATGTATGTATGGTTTTTTTCCTTCTGAATTCTAAGAACAATGATTGCTGGTTTTGAAGGGCTTTGTTTGCTTTTCCTAATATTTTCTCCCGGTGTGTTTGAACCTGGCCTTCTCATCTCTTCCCCCAGCCCTATCTCTAAGCCACTTTCCCGTGTTGGCTCAATTCTCCTCATCGCTTTTTTACATCTCTTACACTTCATAGTTTGGGCACATGTTAAAACGTGTTACTTGTTAATTATCCAGCACAGTTGCAAAACTGTATTGCCTCTCTCCGTCCACAGCCTGAATTCCAGCTATTAACTATAATGCCGGGAAAGCAGTAGTCGGGTAGAATACTGTCATTGGACGTGCACTGTGTTCATGTGCCCACAGAGGCACTGGAGGGCACTGGAGCCCCTGAACTAACAGATGGTTGTTAGGGGTCCGACGGGTGCTGCAACCACACCTGGGTCCTCTGCGAGAGCTGCAAGTGCTCTTAACTACTGAGCTCTCTCTGGAGTCACAAGATAAAGGGGTTCTTAGGAGAACACTCTTGCACTTCAGTAGTGGAGTACACGTTGGGGTGAACAATGAAGGGTTAGTTCCATTCAGGAACTTCTCTGAAACAGTTTGTGGGGACTGGCTGGATTTTGGAGGGCTAAGTTTTCATTGGGCTTACCACTTGGGTGAAGCCCACAGGATGGCCTGGCCGCAGAGATGTAGCTAACAGGTGGAGGTGAGCAGACAGCAATTTATTGGGCCAGCGTTGTTGCTGCTGCTGCTCTTTCCACCACTGATTTTTCCCTTCTCTCCAGACCTGTGCATTTCTCATCTCCCTATTTATAGCCCAGACTGGGGCTGATTAAACTTTTCTCACTTAATTTCTTTATAGCTTTGGGAATTTTTTACATGCACACACACACACACACACACACACACACACACACACACACACACACACATATATATATATCAGGCTTATATATAACTGGCTTAACCACAAATGTATCATTTGTTTAAGATAAAAACAAACATATACTAATGAGATGGACATTTCTGCTTATCTAACACAGTACAATCCAAGGACACTGTAATGTCACCCACAAGCTGGGGGATGAAGAAGTAACAAGTCTGTAATTTCATTTCGATCTGAACAGACATCTTTGCCTGTGCAGTAAAAGCAGTGCAGTTCATAACAGAATGTCTGGTTCCCCCCCCCTCCCCTTCCCTTCCTCTACCGACCTCTCTTCCTGAACCCTTTTCTCTGTCTCTGCCCAGTACAAGGTATGTATGCTGTGTGCTTGAACCAGGGCTGCGGTGAAGTCACGCCATGAACCAGGGGTGAGCACAGCCAGGATTCATTATGTTTAATTTTGAATTAATTTTTGTTCAGTGCACATTCAGAAACCTTTGACTGTTGGCATTTTTTCAACCCCACATTTAGTTATACAACCCCGTAGAGAGTGAGGATCCATGGTTAAAGAAGCTCTGGGCTAGGACACTTCTGATGGGGCATTTAGTGGGAACCTTGGATGCGTCCTTAGAATGCTAGGTCAGATGTGATGTCTGGGGACCCTTCGCCTCTCTGCTGAACCCTCTCTCAAACCCTCAGGAACATCTAACTCAGAACTCCTAATTTACTGTAAATATCTCGTGATGATCATTGTTAATTTGGCTTCCTGCCTCTTTAGTTGCCACATAGACATCTGGAGCTGCCTCTCCTTGTAATTCGAGGCAAAGGTCTGTGGATGAGGCTGAGGGTGGTCTAGACCTGCGGGCAGCATGGGGTCCCGGCTCTCAGAATGGAGATTGTACATTGTGGAGGTTGTCTTGCTGTTTTACTCTTATTTTCCACTGTTCATCCAAATAAACCGAAGCTAAGGACAGGTGTTGGCAAAGCGTATTGAGATCTGGAACCAATGCAAGGAAGCTAGATCTATATTATTATTGCCCTCATAATCATCTGGCCTGGAAGCCAAATGACAGAGTGTGTTTACATCAGTCCCATAAAACTCAAAACTAGTGAAGGTGGGGCCACTAATACGAAAGCTTTTGCTTAAACCTGTCCACTCAAACAGAGCAACATTCCATTTCTTATTTAATGCTGTATGTTTGTGCACATGCCTTCTTCTTTGGCTATTTATCTGATTATTTAAGTAAAACTCTCACATATTATGACTTTTTGTGTGTAATTTTAAGATATTCTGAGATTATTTTAATATTTTTGTTGTTTTTTTTTTTAATGGTCGCCATGAGACGCTGTTTCAATAAATATTTTGAGTCTACATGTTTGCTACAAAAGGTGGCATGAAGCTGGCTTGCTTTCCAACAAGCTGAGGCTCCGGGTGAGGGATTTGAGGGTTAGAATGGACAAATGCTCTGGGGCTCAGACTCTCAGCGATAGAATTACTACCCACGTTAAAAGGTATCTGACAAGCCGCTGCTCGGCTGCACTACAGTGTGAGGTGACCTGCTCATCAGGCTGAGGAATCAGGGAAACAGTAACTTCACAAAAACAGAGCAGCATCTTTACTGTTACAGTGTTATGCAGCACTTCGTTGAAGAAGTACAGCAAATTTCTTTGCGTTGTAACATGTAAACTGCTGGTTTTTAATGCTCATTTTGGTCGTAGCTGTGGTAGCTTTAATAATAGTCATTTTATATTGTTTTTTTCTACAATATGTAATCATTATTAAACTTTCTTGTAAATGGAGTAAAACACTAATGAATCAATACTAATAAGTGCCTAGGAAATTATCAGCTTGCTTTAAACATTAGGCTCCCATAGCTATAAATATTGTGTTAAATTCGTTTAAAATGGGCTTCAATAAGATTGTTCTGCCTTTTAGATACTACCTTCTGAATAGTTAATTCTAACATCATAAATACATTGATCTTAATAAGACTCTAATTGCTACTCACATGAGTTTGGTTAAGGGTAAGCTTGAAAAGAGAAAACTAGTTTGTATAGGAAATGACGATGCGTCACAAGGGTGCTAAAAGAAGCCTGCTTAGGTTGTGGAAAAGATGAGAATCAAATGAAAATTCCTGCCTGTGTACAAAACAGGTTCCTCTATTGAATGCTGGTATGCTCCAACAGGCCTTATTGCTTAGCGTTTACTGTCTATCGGAGAGCTGTAGAATAGCCTGTCTCATGTACAGTATAAATATGTAAATATTTTATTTGCGAGTTTGCATTACTACCTGACGGCTCTTTGTGCCTGATATTCCATCCTGGAACAATAAGCCACAGTAAGCACTTTTGTCAAAACTGTCAAATAATCCTTTTGCGTTTTTCCTCAGCTCTGTTCCCAAAGTATGGGATATGTTAGAAGGTGACATTTTAAAATAATGCTTGTGTTGAAATAAACAACCTGAACAGACCCATTATGCTTGTTTGTGATTATACATTTAAGTAGAACTATATATCTGTGGGTATGCAGATTTGGAGAAAATTAAATATAATTATATTTATGTAAATATAATAATAGATATTTTCAAAATATTTGCTGTCCAGAAGATTATTTAGTGTTGCTTCTTTTGAAAAAAAAATGGCGATTTTGCTTGACTTAACCAAACTTTTCACTAGTGTTGATTGGTTGACTGTTTGCAGTGATATGAATCAATGGCTTGATGGTTCCCCCTGCAACAGGTGGTACCTCAAGTGTTATATAATCTCTTAGACCATATTTCACTATCACCCAGATAGCTCCCAGCTCACTTCCCTGGGAAAAGAAAATTGAAGTCCAATTTTGGCAGAGTGTGAACAAAATGTGTGCTATACAACTTTTGGGTTGATTTGTTTGGTGTGTGTGTGTGTGTGTGTGTGTGTGTGTGTGTGTGTGTGTGTGTGTGTGTTATTTATTTAAATGCTAACTGGAACAGAGCAGGCATTCCGTCAAAGCGTTCAAACAACTCCAGGGAAATAAAACAGTGTATGGAAGTCACGCTAAGTCACATCACACTGTTGCCCTGCCTAGGGTAATGTTATTACACTAGTGACTTATTACCAGTTCCTGATGATGCTTCTAAACTACAAAGTGCTGTCTACAACCTCCAGTGACGGATGCCAGGCTAGCCCAAGACCACACGGCATTCTGGTGCTTTCTCCACGCTTGCCTCTCTGCCCTAACCTGTGGTTGGTAATTGAGTCAGTGGCCTGGGCCCAAGCTCAAAATGCTCAGGAGCCCACTTAAAGCCTGGGAAAGGCAGAGGGCCGTTTAGGACCTGGTTCTGACATGCTCTGGGTTGAGATCTACCTGGAGAAGGCAAAAGCCCTGTGTCCATTCTGTAGGAGTTCTTCCAGATTTCTCAGTCTAGGGACCATCTTTATTTCCTAAGAGTGTAGTGCCATGCAGATAAAAAGAAGGAAAAATAACCAGCAAAAATGAGCAAACTGGCAGTGGAGTGGGGAGAATGTTCTTCTTGGCCCTTGAGACTGAGGAGTGGTAGCGACCCAGGCTACCCATCCTACCTTCCCAAAGCGGGCAGGGAGAGAAGGTACCTGGCTCTGAGAAGCTTGCCCACACAGCACAAGGTAAGGCCCAGACCCTGCCTTCTGCTGCCAAAATGCACAAATTTCAATCCAAATCAGGGGATACTCAGAAAACACTGTTTGAAAAGGAGAACCACACGCCAGGGACTCCAGTGAAGGAGATTGCCAAGCGCAAAACGAAACAGGCAAGCCTCTGTGTGAACCAAAACCAAGAAATTCTTCACAGGGAATCCATTCCTCTGGTTCCACTTGTGGCACTGGGAACCAAACCCTGGGCCTTGTACATGCCAGGCATTTACTGTACCACTAAGCCGCATCCCGAACCTGAGTCTGTAACATTTAAAACCTGTTTTTTTCAGGCGGGATGTAGTAGTGCACATCTTCAGTCCCCACACTTGGGAGACAGAGGCAGGCGGATGACGGTGAGTAAAAGGCCAGCCGGAGTTAGGTAGTGAGACCCCCTTCTCAATCCATCAGTTGAAATCGGGTTTCTCCACAGGGCCAGGTGGCTCACACACCTTACTGGAGAAGGCTGGGGAGGGAGGATTGCCATCGGTTCAAAACTAGCCTGCGCTAGAGTGGAAGACTTCCTTCTCAAAAGGCAAAAAGAAAAAAACCAAACGAAACAAAACATAAAATACGTGAAGCCGGTAACAGCAATGCAACCAAACGGCCTTTCTCCAAACTTCTGACACATCCAAGCAACTAGTGGAGGCCTGGGCTCGGTGCACGCCAACACCCTGCTGGTGTCAGCCGCGCGGGGCGGCTCTAGGCAGAGGCCCGCCCCCGGGTGTCCCCTCGAGCCCGGCGCTCCGGCCCCTCCCCGGCCAGCGGAGCTGAGAGCCGGCGACCATGCTCCGCGTCCCGCGGGCCCCGCTGCTGCGGCTGCAGCTCGCCCTGCTGGTGGCCGCGGGGGCCGGGGCGCGGGTGAGCGCCCCGCGGAGCCTGGCGTGGGGCCCGGGGCTGCAGGCCGCCGCCGTCCTGCCCGTGCGCTACTTCTTCCTGCAGGCGGTGGACTCGGACGGCCGGAACCTCACTAGCTCGCCGCCAGGTCAGCAGCGCCCGTCGCCGTCCCCGCGCGTCCCTGTCCCCACACACGGCCACCTCCCCACTGTGGGCGTCGCCCTCCCTCCCCTCCCCGGGGGCTCCCGTCCCTCCTGTCTGACACCCACGGGGGCGGGAGACGCCAGCTAGGTCCGTGGGGTGACTGACTCCAAGGGCCGGGCCACATGTCCCGCGCGTGGACTGATGTTGGCGTACAGGGCGCCCGTGGTGTCCTATGGGACGCCGTGCTGCAGTCACGTGACGCAGATGGTCCGTCCTGACCTGCAGGGAGTGCCTTCCTCCCCGACTCTGCACCCACGCATCGCTTAGGCGCTCCTAGGCCTGCAGGGCCGGGCCTTCTTGCACGCAGGGTTTCCCTTTCCTTCTTGCTTTTGACTAAATGCAGACCACAGGAATCAGTGAAACTAAGTAGAAACGGGGCTAGGGAGGGTCTTGTCCTGGATCTCTGCAGGGTTCCCCTCCCACATCTGACAGCTTCTCTCGACTTGTCCAGCTGGTTTCCAGTGGTTGCCAGTCAGGATTTGCTCATTTGTGTCTAAATTGAAGGCTATTCCTGTTTTGCCAGCAGAGAGACCGAATAATTCAGGGCCTGTCTACTCCACAGTGCAATGGGAACGTCATGTACTTGGAGATCACTGTGTGTTTGATAATCCTGGAGTAAAAAGAGGATGGTAATGTCTGCCTATCAGAAAACTTAGAGTCTACTGAGAAAATAGATAAGCAACTGACCTATCAGGGCGCATCACCGTTACTACAATGGGATGTGTGCAGTGTGGTGTAAACATGGGAAGACTTCGCGTAGGCCCAGGGAAGTCTGGGAAGCCTTCGAAAGTAGAGGTTTGGAGGCTGAGGGTTTTCTGGACAGGCTCGCAGATGTGCAAACGCAGAGAGTGTGAGGGTCAAGTGTTCAGAACAGGAGCCTGTGGGGCATGTTTCGGATTCAAACCGTGACTTAGTATCACTCCAAGTCTGTAATAAATAAATGAACCCGAACATGCACTTCCGTGGTTATAGCAAGAGAGTACGGATTTTTTTTCCCTAATTCCTTTTAGCATTCTTTTTCCCAGATAAAAATTTCTGCATAGATAATATCTTATTTTATTTATATTGGTATGTGTGAGTGTTTATAGATGTCACTTGCGTGCAGGTGTCTTAGCATCCAGAAGAGGGCGCTGGATCTGCTGTAGCTGGATTTCGAGGCACTTGTGAGCGGCCTGATAAAGTTGCTGGGACCCGAACATGTGTCCTCTGGAAGAGTAGGAAGTGCCCTTAATCACTGAGCCATCTCTCTAGCCCCAATAGATCATGTTTTCGTAGTGAGAAAAAAACAAAACTCTTAATATGATTGTGGTGCATGCGTGGCTCCTGGAGTATGTGTGTCCTTGGCAGGAAGTCAGACATATTTGGAGGATTATGTCGTCCTAGGGCGTAACACTTTGGTCTTCTGGGACACTCACTAATGTAAGATCAGTGCTCTCCCTGTAACTACAGGGAGCTTTAATAAGCTTCCTAAACCGGTCATGGCCGGCAAGGTCCCCATCACCAGAGATTTTCTTCCATTTAAGATGCTGTAGGGCTGTGAGTGCTTACTATCACTGATGTGTGAGCTTGGGTTAGTTCATTGATTTGTGAGCTTCAGTTACTTCTTGGAGCTGGGTCTCTCATCTGTACAGTGGGGGTAAGCAATACCTACCTGACGAAGTCTTACAGGAAACAGGTAGAAATGCTTCAGAGAGCTAGGTGTGATGGTGAGGGCCTATCACCCAAGCATTTGGGAGACAGAGGCAGGAGTATTGTGGGTTCTAGGCTAGTCTTGACTATGTAATAAGAACTTGATCTAAAAAATAAATAAACAGATCTGAACACAAGAAGTAGCCCACAGTAGGAGCTAAGTGATTTTTTTTTAAAAAATGCTTTTGGCTTCTTTGAAATTTAAGTGTTCGGAATCTCTGATGTAAGGGTTTGATACTTCCTGCCTCCCTTTGGGTCACTATGCTCCCATCAGTCAGCTTTTCTTAAAGAAGTTGGAATTTACGAGGAAGAAAACTCAAGCTGATCTTGGAATCTGTTCCATTATAATAGCCGTCAGGGCAAATGCAAACTCATATTCCTTCCAATGTGAGCAATTCAGAATTTCCCTCTTCCTTGTCTCCCTTGTACAGATTACACTTCCTTATTTCTGTGTCAAACCCAACCAGTGTATTTTCCACTGGCTCTCACGTTCATTTTATGCTATCAATGATCCAGACATGCAATGTTACTATAAAAATAACTAAGCACTTAAAATACGTCTTTTGAGCCGGGCGGTGGTGGCGCACGCCTTTAATCCCAGCACTCGGGAGGCAGAGCCAGGCGGATCTCTGTGAGTTCGAGGCCAGCCTGGGCTACCAAGTGAGTTCCAGGAAAAGGCGCAAAGCTACACAAGAGAAACCCTGTCTCGAAAAACCAAAAAAAAAAAAAAAAAAAAAAAAAATACGTCTTTTGAATAGTTTTATACTTTCCTTTGTTGGTTTTTGTTTTGTTTTGTTTTTTAAGCCAGGGTCTCACTATGTAGACCAGACTGGCCTTCAACTAACAGAGATCCACCTGCCTCTTCCTCCTGAGTGTTGGATTAAAGGTGTGTATGCCACCCCAGCTTTTCAGTCTGCTGTAGCATGCATTATCTTTCTTTTTTTTTTTTAAGTTTTTATTTTATGTGTATGGGTGTTTTGTTTGAATGTATGTATAACCACTGTGTGCGTACCTGCTGGTGTTGGAGGCCAGAAGAGAGTCTCAGATTCCCTGGAACTGGAGTTACAGCCAGTTGTGAGCCACTATGTGGGT